TGTGAGTGGTGATCTTTGGAGATCATGGGGGTGATTATATACCCCCATATTGAAGACTTAAGGATAATGATATGCCCTATATTTGTAGATACCCTAAGAGAGCAATGTTTATTATGTGTTTAATGTATGTATATAAACCAAATTATGTGCACCACTAACTGAGTGTTATAGTACTCACCCATTGTGTACCATGTATAGATAAATAGGCCATTTATCAAAGCATCACAAGGGTCGTCTATTGACAGACCAATTTTGACATACGGTAGGTCTCCGATTTTGGTCATTATGCTGGGTCAGGTCCACATTGGCTTCCTCACTCAAAATTTTAAGTTTAGAAAGTAATGTATTCTAGATATTGTACGCACTAAGTGCCATGTAATATTATGTACTAAAGGTTGTTATGTACGAACTCGTCTCGTATAGTCAATCAATGACTTTATGATAATTATATGAATTATGCGTTAGGGATGGTGTAAAATGTTGAACTTGGATTTTATTTATGAATATGATATATGAAATCCCTTAGTTATGTGTTATTTGATTTTGAACTTTAAGGCTTGCTCTGGTCTAATGGGCTTGCCTACTAGGCTGAGGGGTCGATAATGGACCCCTATGTTTAGGTCATGACAAAGTTGGTATCAAAGCGCCTAGGTTCGAGTGTCGTAGGTCATCCTATTTATGTTAGTGGAGTGTGAGGATTAGTATAGAGTTTTCTTCATGGTTTGCAACTGCAACATGAATTATAAGTAAAAGGCTATACAAACTCCCAAGTTTGAGTAAAGCCAATCCTTTGAATTTTGAATTTTGGAAATTTTGAACATGGTATTACTTCATCTTGGTCTAAGATTCCACTTAAGACGAAAGCAACCTTAAGGGCTACTAGAAAGCGAGATGCCCTAGATGAAGTAGTGATGAGAATGTGCGAAATGAGGAAGACAGCCCTATAAGAGGAGATGTCATCTTAGAATATTTGGTAGTTAAGTTATAAAGTTTGGCTAATGAATTCACTGATTTCCATAATAGAGAACTAGCACAATTTAAGGAATAGGTTGTCTCTAGTTCACATGATCCGGATTATGTGCCTCAGTGTGAATATCTGAGTAGGGCTATTTAAGTTTCTTTACTAGATTTCATGAAGTTAAAGTCCTCGTCTTTTACTGGTTCAGATGCAGAGGAAGATCTACAAAGATTTTTGAAAGATATGAAATGTATTTGTTCTGCGTTAGGATGTTCATCACATCATTAAGTGAAATTGGTGGGATTTAGATTAAACAATGTGGCCAAAATATGGTTTGTGTCATTTAAGAGAGGTAGACCATCAAGGTTAGCCTCAATGTCATGGGAAAAATTTGTTCAAGCTTTCCTAGATCACTTCTTACTTAAGAGTATGGAAAATGCTAAGGCAGAAGAGTTTGAGACTTTGAGATAGACCCCAAACATGATGGTGACGGAGTATGATGTTTGCTTCACCCAACTATTGAGATATGCTCATGACTTGGTCCTAATTGAGTAGAAAAGGATTAAGAGATTCATTAAGGGATTAATTAAACCGCTGTTTAGAGTTCTTGCCACCCAGAGGTTTACCTCTTGTGTAGCAATGGTAGCTGTGGCTAGAATGATTGAAACCAAGAGAATGAAATCTAGAATGGATAAAGGAAGGGGTCAAAGAGTTTGAATACAAGACCAACAAATCTGTAAAGATTCTAACGTGACTAGGAGTCCCACATTTATACGCCATCAGAGTTATGAAGGGACCATTCCTATGTGCAGGCCACTAAGAAATAGTGATTCACTTAACCCACCATTTAGCCAAGAACAATCTAACAAAGCATGTAATCTAAACTCGAGGGAAAAAGGTATTTTGTGTAATTATTGTGTAAAGGCACCTAGTGGATTATGCCACAAGATAGTTGGTCCATGTTTTAGTTGTGTTTATTTTAGACATTTGATAAGAGATTGCTTAATGTAGAGGTAATCAGCGAAGGGTAATCATGGATACAAAAGGCAAGTGTCCAATACTCCACTTAAAACTGCACTGACTATGAGAAATATTAGAGGTGATAAAGGCAAGGGTGTGGCCTCATCATCATGAGGTAGACTAGCACAATCGGGTAATGATAAAGGTGGTTAAGAATGGGTATTTGCTTTGACACTGTAAAATGCTCGAACTTCTAATTCAGTGGTCATAAGTACACTTTGTATTTATGGTACTAAAGCTTTACTTTTATTTGATCCTGGATTGACACATTCCTTTGTGTCCCTACATTTTATGCTAAAATTAAATCGATTTTGAAGTAATATGAAGGAATCTTAAATTGTGACTACTCCCTTAAAAGAGATATTTATGGTAGAATATATGTATAAGTCTTATGTGGTTCACATAAAGGACAAGGATACATTAGCAGACTTGGTGTTGCGACTAACCTTGGATTTTGATGTGATATTAGGAATGGACTGGTTAGCCTCCTATTTTGCCAAGGTAAACTACTGCCGTAAGCTTGTGAAGTTTAAGTTTCCAAGGTAGCCTAGTGTTTGTAGGAGTTGTGTTGGACATAACCGCCAAACCAATGCCAAGGCAAGAACGCCAAGTGTTGTTGGCGACAATAAAAGATGCTTCAATGGATGATAAGAGTATGGATTATGTATTGGTAGTAAATGAGTATTCTGATGTATTTCAAAATGAATTTCTTGGATTACTTCCCAAAAGGGAAATTAAATTTTGTTTTGACTTAATTCTATATACGCAGCCAATTCCAATACCTCCTTATTGAATGGCACCAACTAAATTAAGATAACTTAAGAAGCAATTGGAAGATTGATTGAATAAGGGATTTATTCACCTCTGTGTTTAACCTTAGGGAGCTCTGCTATCTGTGAAGAAAACAGATGGTAGCCTTTGGTTATGCATTGATTATTGGCAATTGAATAAGGTCACTATAAAGAATAAATATCCACTCCCAAGGATTGATGACTTGTTTGATTTATTGTAGGGTGCCGTGTACTTCTCTTAGATTGATTTACGCTCAGGGTATCACTAATTGAGAATAAGAGAATATGATGTACTCAAAACAGCGTTCGACACAGATTATAGACAATATGAATTTTTGGTGATGTCTTTTGGACTCACCAATGCACCTACAACATTTATGGATTTAATGAATAGGGTCTTTCAGGCATATTTGGATAAATCTATGGTCGTTTTTATCGACAATATTTTGGTGTACTTTAAGAGCCCAAAGGAACATGCTCCACATTTAAGAATTATGCTACAGACCTTGAGAAAGCATAGGTTATATGCTAAATTTTCGAAATGTGAGTTTTAGCTGAATAAAATCAATTTCTTAGGACACTTGATGTCTGAATAAGGGATGCAAGTTGATCCCAATAAAGCAAAAGTTATGGAAAATTGGCCAAGGTTGATGTCTATCACAGAAGTTAGAAGCTTTTTGGCTTTAACTAGGCATTACAAACATTTTACACAAGATTTTTCTAAGATTGCATCCCCTTTGATAAGATTGACTCAAAAAAGAGTTAAGTTTGATTGGTCTGATGCATGTGAGACTAGTTTTCAAACGCTTAAAGCTTGTCTCACTTTTGTACTTTTGCTAAGCTGGTTATGTGGATTCATAAGCTATACCATGTATTACAATGCATCACGAGTTGGATTGGGTTACGTGTTGATGTAACATGGAAAAGTTATAGCATATGACTCTTAATAGTTAAGGAGGCATGTACAAAACTATCCTATGCATGACCTAGAAAAGGCAACAATTATGTTTGTTTTAAATATTTGGTGCCATTATCTCTAAAGTGAAACTTGCAAAATATATACTGATCCCAAGAGTTTGAAGTATATACTTTAACAAAAAGACTTAATTTTGAGATAATGTAAGGTGGTTGAAATTATTGAAAGATTTTGATTACACCATGCATTACCATCTTGGCAAGGCCAATGTGGTGGCGGATCCTTTAAGCCAAAAATCAATAGGAAGTTTGGCGCATGCGATAATAAAGAACAGATCTTTGGTGTAGAGTTTGTATGATCTAGGCAATAGAGGTGTACACTTTAAGATTAATGATTCTAATGCCTTGTTGGCACATTTTAGAATTCGACCCATGATATTGGATCAAATTAAAGTTGCCTAGGCCCAAGATGAATATTCGATTAAACTACTTGGAGACATGAGTGAAGATAAAGCTCGAGACTTTGTATATGGCACAAATGGTTTAATGAGATATTGATCATAAATTTATGTGTCAAATATAGATAGTTTGAGAAATTAGATGTTAGAAGAAGTGCATGTGGCAACTTATGCAATACACCCTCGAGCCACTAGGATGTATCATGATCTGAGTCTATGCATTGGTGGCTAGGATTTAAAAGAGACATGGCTGAGTATGTCTCTATATGTTTGACATGTCAATAAATGAAGGTTGAACATCAAAAACCTTTGGAATTGCTACAACCGTTATCAATTCTTGAGTGGAAATGGGAACATGTAGTAATGGACTTTATGATGGGTTTACCGCGAGCTAGGGCTGATAATGATGCCATTTGGGTGATAATTGATCAGCTAACTAAGTCTGCTTACTTCTTATCAATCAAGATTAAGTATGGAGTAGCTTGGTATGCCCAAATATACATTAATGAGATTGTCAAGCTACATAGTGTTTTAGTAATGATAGTGTCTGACAGAAGACTGCAGTTCACAAGTCAATTTCGGAAGAGATTGCAAAAGGCCATAAGCACAAGATTGGATTTTAGTATAGCCTTTCACCTATAAATGGATGACCAATCTGAATGTTCCATCCAAACACTCGAGGATATGTTAAGAACGATTGTGCTCAACTTTAGAGTCTCTTGGAATTATTATTTGCCATTAACTGAGTTTGCTTATAACAATAGGTATCAAGCCATGATCGATGTGGTTCTGTATGAGCCTTTATGTGGGTGAAGATGTTGGTTTGAAGTGAGAGAATGGAAACTCTTAAGGCTAGAAATGGTCCAAGAAGCTGAACGAGGTGTTCAAGTAATTCAAGAAAGGATACTAACTGCTCAAAGTCATCAGATATCTTACGTTGATAACAACCAGAAACCCTTAGAATTTGAAGTCAGCGATTATGTGTTTTTGAAAGTTTTGTCTACATACATCAGACACTTTGAGGTACTGAGGCACATTAGCATAATTGCTTATCATTTGGTGTTACTGCCTAACTTGTCCAATGTTCATCCAGTTTTTCATGTGTTCATACTTAAGAAGTATGTTCTTGATCCTTTGCATGTGATACGATATGATGAAGTCCAGTTACAAGACGAGCTTAGTTATAAGGAGCAACCCCTAGTTATATTGGATCGGCAAGTAAAACAGCTTTGCTCCAAAGATATTGTCATAATGAAACTATTGTGGCAAAGCCATTCAATTGAAGAAGCCACATGGGAACTCAAGAAAAAAATGTAAGACTCACAATCTTTGATGTAAATTAAGAATGATTTATGAAATATGTGAAGTCTTAAGTATTTTGATGATATGATAAGTACGCCAAGTGTTTAAGGCTATACATATTGACACTTAGGCAAAACTATAAAGAAAAATGTGATAAATCCCATAATTTGAGATTTTGATTAAGGTTTGATGTTATGTTTATGAATTTATGTGTATGGGATTAATTTAAATGGATGACTTAAGGTGTAATATCAACTGAGAATAATATTGGAGTGTTAAACTTAGATTTTTGGAGTTTTTGGGAAGCTTAGAACTGCCTATAGTGGTGTAAATATCAATACATACCCTAGTGTATCGATACATTCAAGGCAGGATGAACAACGAAGGCTCCACGAAAAATATTCTATCGATATATTTGAGAATGTATCGATAAATTTGGTCAAAGATGAATATGTATTGATACAATTGAAGCAAAGAGCACCCAGGGAGAAAAGTATCGATAAAATTCTCATGTGTATCGATACATGTTGGGCAAAAAGGATTCTGCCTGAAATGCATCGATACATTACTCCAATGTATTGACACATTCATTCGAAATTAGGGTAAATGAATCAATACATTGCCAAAATGTATGGATACATCAAAAAGGAAAGGCAAAAATAAAAAAGGATTTCGGGCAATTTTGCTCAACTCTTTCTTTCAACCTTTTCTCTCCCTTTCTCTTTCTAGAAACCCAAGGCCCTAAGTTCCTAAATAGATTTTTAAAGTCATTTGAAGCTATTTAAAGCTTGGAAAACCATTCTGGAGGTAAGATTTAATGTTTTTACTTATTTTTTTTTTGAATTTAATTGGTTAAATGCTAAAATTTGATTTTCTCCAAATTTGATAATTTTCCCCCTTGGCTTGGATTGAGGAATTTGCGAGCTAATACCCATGCAATCCGACTTCTAAGGTATGGGTTTAGCTCGTGAATGAAGGATTTGAGCTTAAATAGTTGGATTGCTAAGATTTGGTTAATTGTACAAAAGCTGAAATTTTTCTAAAGCCATGAATAATAAACATTTCAATGTTCTGATGTGTTTGAAAAGAGAAATGGAGTTAAGTCAACTCATCGAAAAGCTAGACAAAGATTGGGGGCTAAGGATCGAAGCTTCACAGGGAGTGTCTTCTATTGTCACTATGAGTGGGTTTAAATAAATGCATGAAATGCATAATGCATAATAGATGCGCTGCCATAGTATTAGAATGAAATATGTATGCTCAAACGAATGAACCTAAGCTAGAGTTCTATATATGTGTATATGTATATATGTGAACTGTTTGTGATTGTGTGTTGTGATGTGAGCCACATGGTTGGCCTATGCTGTGTGTACCTAGACTAAGACTTCTAGAGGCTATGATGAACCCCTAAGAGTAGATTACCTAGGTGAATGATATGTTAAGATAATTTGATTGAATGATGCCTTGGAGACTTAGAGGCACTTAGAACCCTAATCGAGCTTAAGATGATTGAAGCTCAACAAATGTAATTTGTGGTTTGATGAGGAAAGATGTGAATGATAAAGACATGACAGCCTTGTTTGTGGAGCGTGATTTGACTATGTCCAGAGGAAGACCACTCGTTGAGTTGATTTGCATATGATGTGAGCTAGCCATGGAGAGGTCTAGATAAATGTGATATGATTTTGATGTGATACTCTGACAACCAGAGTTTTTAATGGTGAATGATTTGAATAACTTTGATCAGCTTCAAAGGTAAGCCTAACGATATGTGTGATAATCTTTAGAGACATTAAGGATGATGATATGCCCTCATATTATAGATTAAGTAATGATATGCTCTATGTTCAGAGATGTTTGCTAGTACATCAAAATGCACAGACAATGCATATATTTCATATATGTATTTAATATGCATATGATTTTGTTTATCTGCACCACTCAATGAGTATTATCATACTCACCTATTTGTATACCGTGTGTAGATAAGTAGGCTATAGAATTATGTGGCAAAGGTCATTTAGCAACAAACCGATTTTTGCATCTGGTAAGTTCTCCGTTTTGGTCACTCTGCTGAGTCATTTAAACCTTTCTGCTGTGGATATTGTGCATTGGCACTAAGTGCCATGTTATATTGTGTATTAAGGGTTAATATGTATGAATCCCTTTGGATGGCCAACGCATAGCCCTATTACGATTTGTATGGAAACTAAGCCAGGGATATTGTATTTTATTCGAATTTGTTATGAATATTTAATGATTGAATCCCTTGGCCTATGTATGTTTGAATATGAACTTTAAGGCTTGCCCAGGTCTAGTGGGATTGCTTACTAGGCTCATGCGCTGGTCATGGCCTTCAGATTCGGATCATGATAAGAAATGAGAGAGAAATACCCTTTTTTTTTTTGGCTTGATATGTGTGTTTTGAATTTGTGGCATTTGATTTAAATTCGGGGATGAATTTAAAGTAAGTCAATTAAGAATGATCGATTAAGTATATTATACCTTGAGGGAATATGAAACTATTGTTCGATTGTATGGTTTGAGGTTTTCATTTGTATTTATATGATAATCGATAATCTGTTATCTGTGGATTTGAAATTTAGAATGATTTGAGGTCACAGAAGAAGTTTAACATGAGTTTAGGCTTTACAAAAAGTCGCTTTTAAGAATCTGGACTTGAAAAGTCAAGCATGCTAGTCTAGGATCAACTATAGGCCCTTTATTGTTGATCCTAGGAAGGAAAAATGGGAATAGAAGCAAGCATACTGGTCCAGGATTGACTATAGGGCTTTCATAGTCGATCTTGTGAAGAAAAGTCAACTATAAACTGGACATACTAGTCCAAGATAGACTATAGGTCCTCTATAGTCGATCTTGTGACGAAAAATAAGGTGCATTTTGTTGGTCCATGATCAACTAGAAGTCCACCATAGTCGAACTAGACTACCAGATCAGTTTAAAATGGGCTTAAAAGCCCCAAAACCCGATTTTTTCTTAATTTTCTTCCTATTTCCTCTTCCTTCACCATTTTCTCTCAAATTTCTTATCCTTCAAACCCACTAATCTCTATCGACAAATCTTGGATTCTAAGTGCTGGAGGTAAGTGTTTAGACATCCAAAAGCTTGATTTGTGATTTTTATTTTCTTTCTCTCTCTATCTTTCTCTCTAAAACCTAAAACCTTAACTTCCAAGAATGAAATTTTGAAGCTATTTAGAGTGGATTGGAGCTTGGGAAATGCTTCTAGAAGTAAGAATAAGCATTTTTACTTATTAATTTTCAAATTAATTGGTTAACAGCTTAGATTTGATTTGGTTTAACTTTGAAGAAATTGACCCCCTTGAGTTCCTAGGGATTTAGGGTAAATAATTGTATAATCAAGCTTCTAAGGTGTGGGTTTAGGTCATTATCGAAGGATTTAAGTTTATACGTTGGATTGCTAAAGATTTGATTATGATTGACTTTGATTGGCTTTGAGGGTAAGTCTAATAATGTGAGTGATGATATATGGAGATCTTAGGGATGTGATATGCCCCCATATTGGAGACTAAGGGATAATCATATGCCCTGTATTGATAGATGTTTGCTAGGTCATGTAGATGCACTGAAAATGCCATATTTATTATGTGTTTAATGTATGTATATAAACCTGATTATGTGCACCACTCATTAAACATTATAGTACTCACCCATTTTGTACCATGTGTAGATAAACAGTCCACTAGACAGAGAATGGCAAGGGTCATCTATTGACAAACTGATTTTGGCAACCGGTAAGTCCGTTATTTTGGTCACTCCGCTTGGTCAGATCCACATTAGCTTTTGCAGTCAAAATTTTAAGTTTAGAAAGCAATGTATTCCTTATATTGTAGGCACAAAGTGCCATGTAATATTTGTGTACTAGGGGCTGTTATATACGAACCCATCTCAAATGGTTAATGAATGGTTTTATGATAATTGATTGAATTATGTGCCAAGGATGGTGCAAAATGTTAAACTTGAGTTTTATTTATATATGATATATGAAGTCCCTTGGCTATGTGTTATTTGATTATGAACTCTAAGGCTTGCTTGAGTCTAGTGGGCTTGCCTACCGAGCTCGTGCATCAGTTACGAACCCTTAGGTTTGGGTCGTGACAAACCTAAAAGGGGAAGAAGGTAACATCCCAAAATCAGAAGGCATTGAAACTTGAAAGAGGTGTTAAAAAGCTAAAACGAGAAAGACATTTGCCATTATTATGGCAAACCTAGGCATTAGCGAAGGAGTTGCATGGAGTACCTAGCAACTGTAGGTAACAAGAAAAAACTTATTGAAGTTTCTAATTTAGGTACCATTTGTTAAGATATACTACTTTATATATAAAGGTATATGGTACCTTATGTTGGCTCTAATATGTATGACATATTGTAGAGACCAGGAGCAAAGATGAGTAGGATCTTAGCTAAGGAGGTGACCATATTGATGCACTACTTGAAACATTAGATGCTACATATGGATGGTTGCGCTCCTATTTAAACTTATGATTTGACATGTTGGATAATTTGGTTAAATGTTTCGACATTTGTTGCCATATAGATGACTTGTGAAACATTTATATTTAGCATTTGGATGTTAAAGTTTTAATGTTTCATGTTTGGATAATTACTTGAAATAACTATATCTTACTTTATTATTATCAAAATTTCATATTTCTCCTTGCAATGGTATTTGATCAATTATAAATTACGAATTATGTCAAATTAGTTTGATTAAAATAAAATTAATCAATTAAGATTAATCAACTAATCAAGTGACCTTACTTAAGATAAGATCTTAGTAAAAGATCATTTGAGTTTGTGATTAATTGATCAAAGGAATGAATGTCGATTCATGTAAAGATGGAACTTTCTTATGAATAAAACATAAAGATGTTTATTCAAAAGAAGAAAGTAAAGTCATATTGTGATATGATTTGGTCTGTACCTCTCCAGTATACTGGGCCCATAATTGCATTCTAAAATCAATACAATTCC